GGGTAACCTTGCTGTTGCTGATATACAATAAGGGTGTCAAGAAGTGATGGAGGGACTGAGGTGGGAGCAAACTGGAGGAGCAGAGTAGCCTCCACATGGGCAGCTGGCAGCTTAAGGGCCTCCTCAGGAGGCGAGAGGACTTTGTGCTCGATGCCATTTGCTCTGGAGAGGGAGACGGTGTCTCCACAGGCTGAGTGTTGCCCTAGGACTCTGTCACAGAACAATGCCAGGAGCTGGAGCATGACCTATGACCTGAAGGAGTGGGTGGTTGCGGTCATTCTGAGGGTCTGCACACACCGACCGTGACGCCAATGCCAACCGTAAGATGGAACGTCAAGTTCCAGAAGTTGCATGAACCTCTTGGTCTGTGCATAAGAGAAAAGTATTACTCAGGCCATAGGTGGCCATCCAATCACAGTGTAGGATCTCTCTGTTGTCCCCCCTTGGATTGATATCTATCGGCTGTTATTGGCAGCGTTTATTTCAGGTCACATCACTTTACCTCGTTTCCCTGTGACGAAGTCAGTGCGGCACTCTGGGCAGTTGGCTAGGTGGCCCTAGGTGCAGGACTTGACAGACTATGGCATGTCACACTGTGAGCATCGTAATCACAAAGCAGTTGAGTTCACTCGGAGAATGGTATTCCAACAATGTACATGTGAGCTGTCATCGTGAGCACCGGGTCTGGGTGCTGCTAGAATTGGAGAGTCTAGAACCAGAGTCTGGATTCTCAGAATAAGGGATCATTCATCTCAGATAGAGAGGAAGAGGAATTTTTTTCCCTGAGGGGAGTGAATCTGTGGAATTCTTTACCACAGAGTGATGTCAAGGCTGGGTCATTGAGTTTATTTAAGGCTGAGATTGACAGATTTTTAATTAAATGAGGAAGTCAAGAGTTATGAGGAAAAGACAGGCAAGTAGAATTGAGGATGATCGGGTCAACCATGATCCCATTGAATGGCAGAGCACATTCAATGGGCTGAATGACCTACTTGTTCTCCTATGATTTATATTGTGTGTCATGTGTACCCTGAGGTGTGTTGGTTTGTGGCTGCTATCCCACAGCATACATGGCGAAGGGCATTTTCAGACTATCAATGCTTTACCGGGTGCACAGCTGGTATTGGCCAGGCAGCTTGGTGTACCACAGCAGGTGGTGAGAACACTTGTGCATAACCAGGGGGAGAATAGGACTAGTGCAGCATCTTAGAGGCTCGTGGTTCGTGAGGTGAATTTGAGGAGGGTGTGGCAGAAAACCCACTCAGCCCTCATGGAGAGAAATCCTCCATGAAACCCAACTAAAATGAAACTTCACTGAACTGAGTAAGATTCCAGTTGTAATGTAAAGGTCATCTTAGAAACATATCCATGGATGAGGGACTTTTGCCTCAATCACATGAAGGCTTATTAAACCTGGCGTCATATTCTGCAGGGAATAGTTAACAATGGGCTGTACAGCTGATGAGGATAACAATGAGATGCTGAAGAGATGATCAATGCAAAGATTTAAAGAAGACCTCAAGAGAAAATAGAGCCCAAACTATGACCATCAGCAACCAGCAGACTTAGTGGGAAGATCATACCACTTGAAGAAGGATATGCTGTGGGTCATGGGATCAAATCCTGCCAGAGCTGTTGGTGCCATTTCAACTTAATGAATGACATAGAAAATAGCAGCAGGAGTAGGCCATTCAGCCCTTTGAGCCTGTTCTGTCTTTTAAGATGATCATGGCTGATCATCCAATCATTTTCTCCCCACAACCTTTGGTCCTTTTTTCCCTAAGAATGATATTTAACTCCTTCATGACAACATTCAATGTTTTTGTCTCAACCACCTTCTGTGACAGTGATTTTCACAGGCTCCCCACTCTCTGTGTCAAGACATTTCTCATCTCAGTCCAAAATGGACTACCCTGTATCCTTTTACTGTGACCCCAGGTTCTGGATTCCCCAGTCATCAGGAAACCTGGAATTGAAAGCTCATCTCCGGGATGATGATCGTGAGAGCGTGCATTGACTGTTGTAAAAACCCATCTGGTTCAGTAATGCCCTTTTCGGGGGGAAATCTGATGTTCTTAACTGGTCTAGCCTACATGTAATTTCAGGGCCGCAACAACGTGATTGACTCTTAAATGCCTCTCAAATGTCCCAGCCATCCACACTATTGGAGGGAAATTGAGGCTGAACAACAAACGTTGGCTGGAATTAAAAAATATAATTATCCTAAGACAGCCAAAGCTAAGCAGCTTGACAGGGGTAAAAGCAGAGAAAATGTTTCCCCTCATGGGAGCGTCTCGGTCCAGAGGCACAGTCTCAGAATAAAGGGGCTCCAATTTAAGGCAGAGATGAGGGGGAATTTCTTCTCTCAGAGAGTTGAGAGTCTTTGTAACTCCTTCCCACAGAGAACTCGCGGCAGTCCTTTTGTATATTTAAGGCTGAGGTCGATAGATTCTTGATCAGTCAGGGAATCTAGGGTGATGGGGAAAAGGGCAGGAAAGTGGATGTGAGGAATATTGGATCATTCATGAGCCTATTGAATGGCAGAGCAGACTTGAGGGGCCAAACTGCTTGCTCCTGCTCCTGTTTCATATGGTCTTATTAAGCATTTCCTGATCTGAAAGTTTTTGCCTTGACTTGAATTCTCTTAGAAGGCATTCTGCTGTGGATTCAGTCAAATCAGCCTGATGTGGGAATTGTCACTGTAGAATTGTATGTGTTCTACAAGCCTTTGTGGTCCTGGTCACCATTAACCCCGTTTACCTTTCTGCTTTGAGACTTTTAAAAATTGAATAACTTGGTAAAACACAACAAGAAGTGGAAAAGGGAGAAATCTAAAACAATTTGAATAATTTTATTTCTTGTATTTAAAGTTTGAATAGTTACTCTTGCCCACTCCAGCTGATGATTCAGTCGCAGCTGGGACTGAGGGGCCGTACTCAGTGAAACGTATTTGACTCTATTGCAAGGTGTGAACAGCAAACACAGAGAATCAGACCAAGCAGGGATTGTGTTAGGAAGCAGAAGGAATCCAGGATTTACACTGGGCAGGGGGAGTTACATGAAACAAAAACTGAATACCGCAGATGCTGAAGATCTACAATAAAAACACAAAGTGCTGGAGAAACTCAGCAAGTCGAGCAGCAGAAATGGAGAAAGAAACAGAGTTAATGTTTTAAGAAGAAACATTAACACTGTCTTCCCCCCGCCCGCCACACACACTGCTAAACCTGCTGAATTTCTCTCACATTTTCTGTTTTTAGTGCGGAAATTCTTCCAGAAACAGGAAGCCCTAAACGGTGAGTCTGTCCCTGCCATATTCCCATTCCCCTTTCTGTATTTCTCTATTGCGCATAAATCCTGTTAAACTCTGGGATTTTCTCCTCTAGTTCATGGAGCTTTCTGTCAATTCGGGAATCACACAGCAATTCCTTATCGAAACTCTCCTTTTGGATGGTGTTGAAGAGTGCCTGGAGAAGGTCTTTGATCCCTTCTATCCCATAGAAGGCCTCCTCAGTGCTCTGTTCTTGTAACTGCTCCAGTGCACCCTGGAGCTTATTGAGGTAATACAGAATATCCTTCACCTTTCTCTGTGCATCGAAGAGCTCTTCTTTCTTTCTCTTCAATTCTACTGTCTCCTTCTCCCACTGACTCTCATATTCCACTCGCTTTTCTTTCAGATCCTTTATCTTTTCGTAACACTTTTCTAGTTTGCACTTCTCCTCATCACGTTCCTTCTCCAAATCTCCCTTGGTTTCTGTTGTAATTTTGATGATGTCCTCCCAACGCTTGATTTCCTTGGAAGTGCTGAGAACCATTGGGATTCCTACAAGAGAATGAATGTATGTTACACTGTGCAGAGTGAATGAAGGGTCTATGAAGTGATTTTACTGAGGTCAGCCACATGGATCTTTGGAATACGAGTCCCCTGATTGGGGCTGTTAATCTGATCCAATTAAGGAGCCTTGACTGACAGATAAAAACAGGCATTTCAGAGGAAGGGTCATGCGACCTGGAACGTTAACTCTGATTTTCTCTTCACAGATGCTGCCAGACCTGCTGAGCTTTTCCAGCAACTTTGTTTTTTGAGGTGTGTCAGACAGTCTGACACTCAGAGCTGGCTCTGAGGAAACTAGATCAGTGTCAAGGATTTTCTATGGGTAAGTAAAGGACAACTTTGTGATGGATACCAGCCTCTGTGGTGTTATTTCACTGGTGATGAGAGTAAACCACATTACTGAAGAAGCTCGTTTGCATGAGTAATCTTTGAATTTGGGTAAGCATTTCTGGCGGCATGCTTTTGTTTGGGAAGCTTGGCTCGTTTGACCCTGTCATCAAAGACTGGGCCCAGTGTATGCAAACAACGTATTCATTTTTCTGGGCAAATTACATTGGGGCAGATGAAAAGCAATAGCTAATTGTCCTGACAGCTGTGGACCCACAGCTTTTTTGGTCATAAGAAGCTTAATTTTCCCTGAGGCACCAGATACTAAAACCTGCCACTGGAACACCAGTCGAGTGAAAGCAATTGCATAGACTCACTCAGAATACATCCTGACCAGAGGGACTCCAGGTCAGCTCACAGCAAAACCCCAAAACAAAGCCAAGCCTCAACCAAACTGTTATGAAGTTGTGTAGAATAGTCATGAATTGGAAGGCAGGAAGCTAGAATGTATTTGTGAAAATATTAAGGGAGGAAAAAATGTGTGGTTCCTTTTAAAGACAGAGTGCTTTTCTAAGCTTGGAGATTTATAGAGAAAAATGTGTCTGTAAGCAGCTGTAGATTGCAGACGGTTCATCAATTGAAATGTACATCGAAGGATTATATTGTTAGCAGGCAAAGCAACATTTTTACGAAGAAAACAGGTTTTTGAATTTAGCCAATTAATTTAAGCCAAGCCCTAGATACTGAAAGCCAATTGAATTTAAATCTGCTGGTGTTGACAACCTGGGACCAATCCTGGAGTAAGAAATGGATGGGTCTTCAAGGGTATAAAAAAAACAGGGCATTTGGAAAATCAGCAGAGAGCAAACTGCCATCTGAAGCAAAAGCAAATCTGCCACCTGAGGCATAAATCTGGTTTTCACACAAAATCATTAAGCTCTTTAAAAAGCACCATCAAAGCTGCCACGGCATTTTTAGTTCAAAGTCCTCACAGAAGAAATTACAGAGAAAACCATAGAAAGAGAAGACGTTCCTGACTGATGATCAACAGAGAAGATGGAGCATTCCGGAAGACTAATTCTGTGCGAACTTGGAGAGATTAAGTTGTAATTTATTGTTGTCTTATTAATTGGGTTTATATAAGTGGGACTTGTGTGTATTTGAACAGCATTCCAGTAGAATTTAGTTCAGTTAGGGAATAGTTAGTAGTCAGAGGGCAATTGTTTGGTTTGTTGGTAAATCTGTTAATTTGCTCATGGTTAAGATAAATAAATAAATTGTTATTTGTTATTTATAGAGTTGATCAGGGATTTCCTTTCCTTTAACCATTAATTTAACAGGTTATGAGGGGAAAGCTGAGCTTCTCTGGGTGTTTCAGGGGTAATTATTAAAGGGGAAACCCCACTCCCATCACAACACATTGGGGTTAAAATGGTATAGGTCTAGACCCAAAACGTCAGCTTTCCTGCTCCTTTGATGCTGCTTGGCCTGCTGTGTTCATCCAGTTCTACACCTTGTTATCTTACAACACATTGGGGCTTGTGTTTCAGTCTAATTATCAGAGGGTTTCGATCAACATTCCCTCCCTAACAGTTAGCCCACAGCAAAATCCCAAAACAAAGCCAAGCTTCAGCCAAATGGTTAAAAGTTTCTTCAGAATCCAGGCCAGCAAGCCATTGTAGTAGCTGCTGGAATGTGGACTTGAGATGGTAAAGAAGTCTAACTAGACCTAAATTAAGTAAGAGAACTCATAGGCCGGTATCCAGGAGAGTGCACGCCCTGGGAAGTCCACCTACATCTGGTTTGGAACAGTTAAATTGCTCAGCAACATCCAAATCAGAACCAATAAAAATAAACGTCTGATTAAATGGTCACCCGGTTCTAATGGAGGTTGATATTGGTTGTGGCTGTATCAGTGATTACAGAACCAGACTTCACAAAATTCGCTCTGGACTCCAACACTTATATTTGCATAAGACCTTGTCTAGACTGAGAACCTATACCAGGCAGCCTTTACAGGTTAAGGGCACAACTTCAGTTCCAGTCTCTTACAAGAAGCAGCTGGTTCAGTTACCACTGATTGTATTATAAGGCTCAGGCCCAAGCTTGATGGGGTGGAATTGGTTGAGAATGATTGATTCACCTTGATTAGCTCAATATTTTTCGATCAGAAAATAGCTGCCTGAATGAAGTCTTAGTTAAATACTCAGCAGTTTTTCAGGAAAGTTGAGGGACTATCAAATGAGCCAAGGCTCCTTTACATGTTGACCAGGAAGCAATTCCAGGATTCTGCAAGACCCACCCAGTGCCAAAAGTAGAGGTGGAAATCAGGAGGCTAGAAAGTGAAGGAATAATCAAACCAGTCCAGTTTGCGGAATGGGCAATACCGGTCGTACCGATAATGAAGCCCGATGGGTTGGTTTGTCTTTGTGGGGATTTTAAACAAATGATAAATCACTTTTCGCAGCAGGATAGATACCCAATCCCTTGCATAGAGGATTTATACACAAAGCTGGCAGGGGTGGTGGGAACAGGCTCTGTCCTTCCCAAACATGAGCCACGTGTACTTGCAATTGCAGTCAGGTAAAGATTCCAAGAAATATGCAACAGGTATTACCCATAAGGGTTTGTACCAGAATATAAGACTGTCTTTTGGGGTATCACCAGTCTGTGCCATTTTTCAGTGGATGATGGAGAACATTTTATAAGGTCTACCCCAGGTCACCATTTATCTGGAAGATATGTTAATAACAAGGAAGACCAATAAAGAGCATTTAGAGAACTTAGACATAATCATTAGATGTTTCTCCCAGGTGGGCATATGTCTTAGAAGGGAAAAATGTATGTTCCAGGCATCTGAAGGGCTCTACTTGGGCTACAGAATTGATAAGTCTGGGTTACAACCATTGGAAGTTAAAGTAAGGGTAATCCAAGGCGCCCCGACTCCCACATCTGTTCCGGAGCTTTGGTCTTTCCTTGAGCTGGTGAATTAATACAGAAAGTTCATACGTAACCTGGCCTCCATTCTGGCACCTTTGCATCAACTTTTAAAAAGGGGTCAGCCTTGGAAATGGCCGTGTAGCCAAGCCATATCTTTCATGGAAATGAAGAAACAGCTATCATCCCCGAAGGTGTTGGTACACTATGATCCCAAGTCAGATCTGGTATTGCCATGCGATGCCTCCCCATCCGGCAATGGGTTAGTATTAACTCATAGGTGGCCCAATGGCGAGGAACGCCCAATAAAGTTTGCACCCAGGACTTTGGCTAATGTACAGCCCAGATAGAAAAAGAAGGCTTGGTTGTCACATTTGGAGTCAGGAAGTTCCACCAGTACTTTTACGGATGGATATTTGTAATAATAAGGGACCACAAACCCCTTCTAGGTCTACTGAAAGATGACAAGGCAGTGCCGCTGATAGCTTCAGGCTGGATTCAGCAGTGGGCTGTAATATTAAGTGCATATTAATACAGTTTGGAACACCATCCAGGAGGCCAAGTAGCAAATGCAGATGCATTGAGCTGCCTCCCGCTGGCAGATACACCACCAGTGGTACCGCTACTGGAAGAGTCCGTAATAGTTTTACATTTTCTGCACACACTTCCAGTCACAGCTGACAATATCAGAATTTGGTCACAGAAAGCTCCAGTCCTTGCAAAACTGAAACAGCTGGTGGTGATGGGGGAAACCAAAGGGATGTCGCAACCAAAATTGAAACCTTTTTAGACCCGGAGAGACCAGATCACCAGGCATATTATTATTGGAGAGCAAGAGTGATTGTGCCGAGCAAAGGTCACAATGAGGAACTGGATGAACTCCGCCAAGATCATCTAGGCATGTCCAAAATGAACATGCCAGTGAGAGGTTCTGTCTGGTGGCCAGGATTTGATGCTGACATAGCTGCATTGGTGGGGCAGTGCCCAGAGTGTCAACAAGGACTAAAATTACTGCCAGCTGCTCCCCTACATTCACGGGAATGACTATGTAAACCCTGGACTCGGTTACACATTGACTACGCAGGTCCCTTCATGGGCTCAATGTTCTTAGTCATTGTAGATGACCAACTCAAAGTGGCTGAACATGCATGGAGTTCATTTGTCAAACATGGGAACAACGATAGAAAAACTGTGAGCATCTTTTGTAATGCATGGACCCCCGGATGTGTTGGTTACAGATAACAGGACATTGTTTGCCAGCAAGAAATTTGAGTATTTCCTAAAGTTGAATGGGATTCAACAGAGAAGGACAGCTCCATACCATCTATTGTCCAATGGTCTGGCAGAACGAGCAGTCCAAACTTTGGAGGTAACTTAAAGAAACAGCCTACAGCTTCACTAGATACGAAACTGTCCCAGGTCCTATTTGATTATAGGACCACCCCTGATGCAAGTACAGGGATAGCTCCAGCAGAGTTGCTAATTGGGGAAAGACTCTGCACCAGGTTAAACCTGGTCTTTCTGGACCTGGGGGGTGTGGGGGGAGGGGATTGTGGTGGGTGAAGGAGGAGGGTGAAAAAGCAGCAGCAATGCCAGTGTCGACCACCAGCCAAGTGATGGTGTCAGTTTATTACAGGGGACAAACTCTACAGTAGGAACCATGCGAACGGCCCTGGATAAGAGGCTTGCTTGACTCAAGGTCGGGTCCCATGACGTATAAAGTCTGGCTAGGTGAGACAGCCCTGAACAAGCAGGTGGACCATATGAAAGCTGCAAACTCGAAGATGGTGGGGGTTCTAATTGTGCCTGGCTCCTCGGAACAGCTGGAACAGTTGGAAAGGCTTTTTAGAGTCCATGGTTCTCTCTCTCCAAGCATTGAAGAGACTCTGAATCTGAGATAGACATAGTGGATCTCACTGCATCAACACCTTTGTGCCAGAAGAAGAGAGTGAATTTCTCCATAGGCACTCTGGGCACAAGAGGCGAGCTCCTTTATGTTAGATACTGGCTGTATCCAACTCAGAGCTGGAGAAGCTGACCCGGTGCTAAAACAACCCAGGAGGTGCTGTAAGGAAAAGGACCGGCCCATGTCTTCACACTCATTGGGAGAGGGATGTAGTGATTGTAACAAGATCAGCCAGATAAACCTCATAGAACATAAGTTCCCTGACTGCGACTGTTCATCTGGTTTATTCAGCCCTGGCAGATAAAATGAGGAGTGTCAGACAGTCTGACACTCTGAGAGCTGGCTCTGAGGAAGCCAGATTAGTGTTAAGGACTCGCCACGTGTAAATAAAGGGTGACTTGGTGACGGGATACCAGCCTCTGTGGAGTTATTTAAGCCTATGTTTCTTTCTAAGGCCTGTGTACATGGATTGTGTTTCTACCCCTTTCCTGGCCTGTATTTCTGCACTCAGACATATCTGAAGCTCTTCTGCATTGGGGCTTGTGTTTCTGCATTGGGGCTTCAGGACTCCAGACCCAGCTAACTGGCCCATAGCACACAGGAAATATGTCTAATGATTCATCCTTCAGCCGTTCATGTTGCCACATTTAGAGTTACAGAGTCATACAGCACGGAAATAGACCCTTTGGTCCAACTAGTCCATGCCAACCATGTTCCCTAACTAAACTAGTCCCACCTGCCTGCCTTTGGCCCATATCCCTCCAAACCTTTCCTATTCATGTACCTATCCAAATGTCAAAAGAACAAGGAACAAAAGAGAAGTACGTCACAGGAACAGGCCCTTTGGCCCTCCAAGCCTGTGCCAATCATCATGCCCCGACTAAACTGAAATACAAACCTTCTGCCCTTGTATGGTCCATATCCCTCTATTCCCTCCCTATTCATGTAACCATCCAGAAGTCTCTTAAATGTCACCAATGTGCCTGCTTCCACCACCTCCTCTGGCAGTGCATTCCAGGCTCCTGCCACTCTCTGCGTGAAAAATTTTCCTCGTACATCTCCTTTAAACTTTTCCCCCCCTCACCTTGAACCTGTGCCCCGTTGTAATTGAAACTTCAACCCTGGGAAAAAGCCTCTGACTATCCACCTCATTTATGCCTCTCGTAATTTTGTAGACCTTTATCAGGTGTCCTTTCAGCCTCTGTCTTTCCAGTGAAAATAATCCTAGTCGTTGTAACCTTTCCTCATAGCCACTGCCCTCAAGACTGGGCAACATCCTGGTGAACCTTCTCTGCACTCTCTCCAAAGCTTCCACATCCTTCTGGTAATGCGGTAACCAAAACTGCACACAATACTCCAAATGCAGCCTAACATGGGTTTTATATAGCTGCAACATGGTTTGCCAACTCTTGTACTCCATGCCCTGACCAATGAAGGCAAGAATGCCATATGCCTTCTTAATCACTTTGGCCACCTGTGTTGCCACTTTTAGGGAACCGTGGACCTGCATGCCCAGATCCATCTGTATGTTAATGTTCCTATGAGTTCTGCCGTTTACAGTACAATTCACACTTAAATTTGATCCTCCAAAATGCATCACCTCGCATTTTTCTGTTGCACCCTTTTAAATGTTGCAACTGTACTTACATCTACCATTTCTTCTGGCAATTCATTCCACACATGAGCCACTCTTCATGTGAAAAAGTTGCCCCTCAGGTCCTTTTTTCAATCTTTTTCTTCTCGACTTAAACCTGTGCCCTCCAGTTTTAGACTCCCCTACCTTGAGGCAAAGACTTTTATTGTTCATTTTAGGATTTTATAATATCTATCTATATCAGCGCTGAAGCTCCTACGCTTAAGAGAAAAAAAAGTCCCAGCCTATCCTTATAACTCAAACCCTCCATTCTTGGCACCCAGGTGAATCTTTTCTGAACCCTCTCCAGTTTAATAATATCCTTTCTATAACAGGGTGACCAGAACTGCACACATAGAACATAGAACATAGAACATTACAGCGCAGTACAGGCCCTTCGGCCCTCGATGTTGCGCTGACCTGTGAAACCAATCTGAAGCCCATCTAACCTAAACTATTCCATTATCATCCATATGTTTATCCAATGACCATTAAATGCCCTTAAAGTTGGCAAGTCTACTACTTTTGCAGGCAGGGCAGTCCACGCCCTTACTACTCTCTGAGTAAAGAACCTATCTCTGACATCTGTCCTATATCTATCACCCCTCAATTTAAAGCTATGTCCCCTCGTGCTAGCCATCACCAGCCGAGGAAAAAGACTCCCACTGTCCACACAGTTCTCCAAAAGAGGCCCTGCACAACCTCAACAGGATGTCACAACTCCTATAGTCAATGGTATACGCAATGGAGGCAAGCATGCTAAAGACCTTCTTAACCAGCCTGTCTGCCTCTGATGGAACTTCCAAAGAATTATGTACCTGAATTGCTAGGTCTCTCTGTTCGATGACATGACCGAGGGCCCTACCCTTTACTGCATAATTCCACATTCTATTTGTCAAGTTCCTGTTCTCAGAAGCTGAGTTTATTTCCGATTGGTGTTGCCCCATGTTCAGTGTGAGGTATCTGTGAGCACATTGTTAATTCAGCTGCACAGACTCAAATGCAGACAGATAGTGACCAACTTGAGGATAGAATCAGCTGAAAGAACATCAGAGACATTCAAAACAACTAACCTCCAGGTCCACACAAAATATCAGCCTTTGTTCCCAACTCACTCTGACTCCCTCCTTAACCGTTCTCACTCTCACTCCCTGAGTGACCGGTCACTCTTACTCCCTCAGTAACCTATTTCGCACTCACTCCCTCAGTGACTGGTCAGTCAGTCAGTCACTCTCACTCCCTTTGAGACCAATCACACTCTCTCTCTCAGTAACTTACCCCCACCCATTATTATTCCTCCCTCGCTGCATGTTCACTTTTCCCTCTGAATGACTCTCCGCAGTTACCTGAATAGTAATAGTAGTCAGAACCTTCAAAATTTGAGACTGATGGGAGTTTGTGAGTTCGCTGACTCTAGATTGTTCCTCACAAAAGCTTCCAAAGAGACTGTGTCAGAGAATGAGGAGCGAGATCATTACCCACACAGTGGGACTCGTCACATGAACTGGAGGGAGCTAGTGAAAGGGAAGGATTTGTACGGAATGATCTGTGAACTTACCAATGAAGGGGATGATGAGCAGACCATAGCCTATGTTACGAACAGTTTCTTTCTCTGCTTTCTTCGCATTAGCTCTGTCCTGAGTTTCTGTCGTGTGCAATAATTGAGTTTGGGAATGATGAAGTTCATCTCTGGTCTTGTCTTTCTCATTTTTCACTGCTATTAATTGCTTGTTCACATCCTCCAAGTGCTTTCTCAAGCTTACTATTTCAGTCTCCGGATTCTCTGATGCCATATCTTCGATCTTGTGATCCACACCATCTCTGATCTCTTTGCATTTTCGCACTGAGTTCTGAATTTCTGTGTGAGCCAATTCCACCTCAGATCTGAATCTTCTCTCCTCTGTGTCACTGAGAGTTTTGTCACAAGCACGAATGACAATATCAGCGAGAGTCACGACTGATGTTAATGTGTCTAAATAATGCGGTAAGACTCGCTTCTTGAAATTGTTCTTGTCCATTTCTATGGTTGTGGCTGGTATAGAGCGTGAGTGAAGATGTCAGTGGGCACTGTGCAGAGCTCCAGCAGGGTCTTGACGGGCTGTTAACTGGTGAGAAGTGAACGAAATTTCTCTCTGTCTCGTTCTGAAAGCCAACAGCTCAAGCAATGAGTGACAGAGCAGGATGTGGTGGAGCTGCTCTTATACTGGGCTCTGGGAGGAGTGT